AACTGTTCACAGAAATCCACAGGCTTGTGGTTGCCAGGCAACCACACTGGGCTGCGATTGGCTGAACATCACTGTGAGGGGGATTTTAGGATCTAGGTATGAAAATTTAAAAGACTGGGGTAGTCAAGTTTGGAACTCATAGACCTCAGACATACCAAAAGTTTTTCCAATGACTTCCCTCCACTTCTCAAAATATGTCAAATTTTCTTGATCACTACAACTGTAAAAAAAATTCTGAGGCAACATGGAGAGGGTAATCAAATACTGCATGATTGGAATGGCTGTGGTTGTATGAGGCGCAAAGCTGCAGAGTTGGGCTGAAACAGTTCACAGAAATCCACAAGCTTGTGGTTGCCAGGCAACCACAATGGGCTGTGATTGGCTGAGCACCATTGTGAGATGACTTTAGGCTCTAGGATACAAGTGTGCAGTAGGAGACCTGAGTCACAATGCTGGGCGTTGCCATGGAGACCTCAGTGGCACAGAGGACCTTGTAGGGCAAGATTTAAATAGGATGAATATTCTTGGGCTGGTATGCCACAATATTCTCTCTGAAGGCTTCACTGCTCAGAATTTGTGGATGGAAATGCTAGCCAATCTACACATGGATGTACTTTTAATGGGATATGAAATATGCCAGGGCCTGTCACATGATCTCTGCCATGTCCTATCCTTGAGCATACCCTTTTCCCTTGTCATGTCTGTCATTTGGCTGAGTCCTGTTCCGTAAGCTATTCAGTCAAGACTTGCTGGCATCATTCACCTGCAGTATAAGATCTTTCTGTGAAATTTCTCAGCAGAAATCCTCTGCAAGTACATAGCTGTGGATATGAGAGACCGTGGTGGAAGTTGATTTCAAGGGCAGATATTTGAAAACAATGAAACAAGCCCCGAATAAGATCTTTACATGTTTCCCAGATGAATATGTTTGGAAATACGGGGGAAGATGGAGATCAAGGCTGAGAAGAGTGCACACCCATTTCAAGGTACAAAAACCAGGGAAAAACATGGGAAAGCAAGAGACCTGGTTAATCTGATGTAAAAATCTGTGATGATGAAAGGAAAATTATATTCTCATGATGATTTAATCAGGCTGTAGAAGTGAAGTTCTCATGTTGGTTGTCCTATGTGTGGCCTTCTGCATTGGGCAGTGGATGCAGGACAGAAGATCTTCAAATAAATCTGGTGGAACACAAAATACTGAAAAAAATAGTTCAGCCTAAATCCTGTGTATTCCTTCCCTTTGAGAACATATATGGATAATGTATGAAGTTTCAAAAGAGAAAATGTCTATTGGGTCATGGTTTCAACAATGAAATGGTCACTTCACATAACATTTTGAATTTTGCTTTCACAGTTGCTCATGTACGAAGCCTGAGTAAATCAGAATGCAGAGTAAGCCTCATCAATAGTTGTGCATTCCATAAGTGGTTTTAAAACCAGTGAAACCCTTTGGACTTAGTGTTTGTATTTAATTGGTTGATTGGTTTTTCAAATTGTTTTTTTACTATTTTTAACTTGGTGAGTCAGGGAAGCCCTCACTCATAGTGATTTCGACCTCTCCAAAAGCTCTGAAGTTATTCATGTAACAGCTATTACATGCTATATGTTTCTCCTATTAAAACTTGAAAGACAAACAGACTCTGCTACTTTTCATCTAAATTCAGTGTTGGGCTAACTTCAGGGTTGGACTTTTTACAAGTCCTTTGAAATGTGTCCTCCTCTAGTCACTGGTCGTGCTGGAATTTACTTTCTTGTGAAGACAAGATTTGAGCAAATTGACACAAGTACAGTTTGCCACTACTCTGGACACCTGGTTAAATATCGAGTTCCCTAAATGGTGTGTGTTTTACTTTGATCTCTGCTCACACTTTGCTCATCCAGTTTGAAACACAGGGCTCCAGGCCATAGCGTTCCAGGCCTAAACAAGAAAATTTCCATTCCGTTTTGGGAGTTCATGCGTCTCTCATAATTACTTTTTCCACAAATGTGTGCTTCAGGAGAGGCCCTGTCCAAATGTGGAGAGGCCTATTTTCATTCACTCACTTTTAGACTTTCTAAGATTTTCAGTTACTAGTTGTTTGCCCAGACTTGCCATTGTCAAGGGACAGTGCACTTCACTTGATGTTGTGCAGTATTACTTCATGTGTCTCCGTGGAAATTCCACCAATGGGAAACTCTTGCTGTAGTCATCTCCAAGTGTTTCTGTGTAAGAAAATATAACTAACAAAGGATGTGTTTTCAAGCAGAATGAGGAAAGGATGGATTATCTTTATTTCAGTGCAGGTTGACCTTTCAAAGAAACAGTAATTCCTATCAAATAGTAGGTAAAATCTTTTGTAAAGAGACATGGACATGACACACACAACTTTATGTCACTTTTTTTAAAACGCCAAGGGCATTTGAGAAATTCTTGGCTGCTGAATTGTCCCTTTTTAAAAATTTCTCTTAGGTAAGACACTCCAGCTTTTTTAAACCATGGTACAGTTCCTTCCATGTAAAAAACCAAAGCAAAAAAAAATAAATTAAAACAAAACCCATCAAATTACATTTGAGAGCACACAATTGCTCAGCAGGCCCACTATTCACGAAGCTAGAGGTAGAGAATCCTCAGCCTTCAGCCCATGGCCTGAAGTTTTGTCTCTATCATGGCCCCTCAATTCCCTGGCATGTCCACATTAACTCATGAATCTTTACTCATTTCCTCTTCAAATGCACAGGATCCAATATATTTGAACCCTGTTCACCTGGGCTGTAATCATCCAAGGACACACCAGAGGAAGGGCAGCCACTCCCTTGCCTTGGGCCTTGGAGCTTATCACAATAGAAATGGACACCTGAACAAGGGGAGCCAAAACAAAGAGAGGCACATTCCTAAAGCCTGAAGCACAGAAGCTACCTATAGCCCAGTAGTGGGATTTCACAAATTATGTAAGAATCTCTGTGCACATCCTTGGCATGGTCCCTCATGCCTATAATCCCAGCAATCTGGGGGCTGTAGTGGATGGATCCTTGGGAGTTCCAGTCCATCTTGGGCTACGAATTTATCTCAAGGCCTCTTTCAACAACTACATAAGATGCTGTTTCCAAAAAGAGGACAACATTAAACTAGACACACTTGGTCTAGTTCCCTGGGTTCACTACATGAGTTGTGGAGTCTAAATATTCCATGCCATGAGAAAATACCTGGGATTTTTAGTGAAAGGGGCATTTGCATCCCTTTTCTAAAGGTTTCCCTTTCACCATGTTACATTTTAATTCTGGGAAAACCTGCTGGTGATAAGGTATTGAGCTAATACCTCATGTTTAGTGTTCAGGGTGTGACAGTCGACCCCCCTGCTACAACACCCTCCCCAGAGCGGGGAATGAAAGGGTTAACTCCCTAACTCCCCAGAGCGGGGAATGAAAGGGTTGACTCCCTAACTTCCCAGAGCTATCAGAACAGAGCAGTAAAGAATGCTTCACTCCCTAAACCTTTCCCAGGAGATAGTCAGAGCAGGGCCAAAAGGAATGTCTCTGCTAGTCATTAACCACTAGATGTTCTGTTCTCTGTAAAGATAGAGATAAGCAAAAGAATGTACTGTATAAACAGGACCAGGGAGCACCTGGCACTCTAAGGTCAACCCAAGACCCTCGGTCTCCATGGTTACTCAGCCCCAGACCCTCAAATCAGCATTAGCCAGGTCCTGCGCCGCTCAAAATTAACCAATGCGATTTGCTTCTGTAAACTTACTTGCCTCCTGCGTGTACCTTTAAAAACCCTACACAAATTCCCCTCGGGGCCCCTCCGCACACGTTTGCCTGAGGGACCCCATGCGCATGGAAATAAACTTTCTTTTCCTCACCAAGAGCTGAGTCCTTGGGGTCTCTTTCCCTGCGGCGTTGGCCCTAACATCGTGGAGGCCCCAGCGAGATTAGCACGTCTCACGGGAGGTGACCCCAACGGCTCTACGGGTGAGTACGACTGGTCGCTTTTCATACCACCGGTGTTTACGCCCCGAGCCATACGGCTCCGATCTAGGGGCAATTTTTGTTATCTGTTTCGTACTCTGTTCCCTGTTGACTGGGGGACGCCCCACACAGTTTCCGTGGTTCACCGTCTGCGATAGGGCCTCCCTATTGATTTGGGGAATTTCGATTCCCAATCTGTGGTCCATCTGGGCCAATTTGGAGACACCCTTTGAGGTGACTCATCTGGGGGATTTCGATTCCCAGTCTGTGGTCCGCCCGGGTCAATCTGGAGACACCCTGTAAGGTGTCTCATTTGGAGTGAAACTGATGCGTATGCATATGAATGAGGTGGCCGGCCTGATTGTTTTGTGTGTCGTGGGTGCTGTGCTTGGTTATTTGTTGTACCGCGCTTGCGTTAACCGCCCTGTGACAATAGAACATCATGGGACAGTCGACCTCATCCCCATTGTACCTCACCCTCGACCATTGGTCGGAGGTGCGGAAGAGGGCTCACGATCTCTCCTTGCAGGTCAAGAAGAGTAAGTGGCAGGATTTCTGCTCGACTGAGTGGCCTACTTTCTCTGTGGGATGGCCACCAGAGGGGACTTTTCATCTGCCCCTCATTCTAGCAGTTAAGGACGTCATCTTCCGCCCCGGACAAAGGGGGCACCCTGATCAGGTCGCTTACATCCTGGTATGGCAGGACCTCAGGGAGGAACCCCCATTATGGGTAAAATCCTTTCTTCCCCCTTCTGACTCATCTGTACCAAAGCTTTTCGCTCTGAAAGGACCTCCCACTTCGGCTCCGGTCCTGCCCGAGTCTCAGCCTGATCTACCCTTACTCGACTATGACCAGCCTCCCCCTTCCCAGCTGACTCAACCTCCTCCGTACCCACTCTCTCCTCCAGCCTCCTCGTCCGAATCGAGTGCTGCTTCTCCGTCAGCCCCCTCTTCACCTGAGCTAAATTCCTCTCCTCCTCCGATACCCACGTCCCCTCTATATCCCCCACTCCCTGCGATGGCTTGCCCCGAGCCCACTCCTCCGGGGCCCACGGGCCCAGCCCAGAACACTCGGAGCAAGCTACGGCCTGAGGATCCAGTCGTTACCCTCCCTCTCCGTCCCTATGGGCCCATGATAGACGATGGGACAGATGGAGGGCAGATGCCCGCTTTACAGTACTGGCCTTTTTCTACCTCAGATCTCTATAACTGGAAAAACAATAACCCTCCTTTTTCTGATGATCCTTCTAAGCTAACAGGTCTAATGGATTCTGTTATGTTCTCCCACCAACCCACATGGGACGACTGTCAACAGCTCCTAGGGGTCCTGTTCACCACCGAGGAAAGAGACCGCATCCTCCTGGAAGCCCGGAAAGCTGTTCCCGGAGAGGATGGCAGACCCACCCAGAGACCAGACTGGATCAATGACTTCTTCCCCTTAAAGCGCCCCAACTGGGACCCCAACTCACCTGCTGGTAGGCAGCATCTTTCTATCTATCGCCAGACTCTAATGGTAGGTTTCCGGGCGGCCGCAAGGCGCCCCACTAATCTGGCCAAGGTAAGAGAAGTTACCCAAGGACCTGCTGAGACTCCCTCAGTTTTTCTAGAATGCCTGATGGAAGCTTACCGGCGATATACGCCTTTTAACCCTGAGGAGGAAGGCCAACAAGGCTCAATAGCTATGGCCTTTATAGGACAATCAGCCCCTGATATAAGACGTAAGCTCCAAAGGCTAGATGGTCTCCAAGACCTGACTCTGAGGGATCTTGTTAAGGAAGCTGAAAAAGTCTACTATAAGCGGGAGACAGAGGAAGAGAAAGAATTAGCTAGGGACAAAAGACGAAACAAGGAATTAACTAAGATGTTGGCCACAGTTATTCAGGGAAAACCTGAGCCAGGAAAGGGAAAGCCCACTCGCCCTCCATTAGACCCTGACCAATGTGCATATTGTAAGGAAAAAGGACACCTGATCAAAGACTGTGAAAAGTTAAAAAAGAAACGGGCCAAAGAAGAACGAGAAAGGCAGTCCTCACAGCGATCCCGAGCCCCCATGCTCGCCCTAGATGAAGAAGACTAGGGACTTCAGGGCTCGGATCCCCTCCCCGAGCTCAGGGTAATATTTAAAGTGGAGGGGACTCCCGTGGAATTCGAGGTCGATACGGGAGCTGTTTATTCGGCCTTACAAGCCCCCTTAGGGGCCCTTTCAACTAAGAAATCATTAGTTCAAGGGGCTAACGGGAGCAAATATCGCTCGTGGACCACTGAGCGCACAGTTGACTTAGGCAAGGGAAAAGTAAAACACTCCTTTCTGGTTATTCCTGAATGTCCTGCTCCCCTCCTGGTATGGGACTTATTAACCAAACTGGGGGCAAAGATTTCCTTTGAGCCCCAAGGACCTCAAGTAACATTCCGTAACCCAAAGGTTGGGCAACCTATGGTTACGGTGTTATCTCTAAAACTGGAAGATGAATATAGGCTCTACGACCACCAGGATCCCCAGCCTATCGCCCCAGCCTGGCTAACTGATTTTAAAGAATCCTGGGCCGAGACGGCTGGACTTGGGCTGGCAAGCCAGCAACCGCCTGTAGTGGTTACTTTAAAAACCACTGCCTCCCCTATTCGGGTCAAGCAATATCCCATTAATAGAGAAGCTCACCTAGGGATTAAGGTGCACATACAGAGACTTTTAGACCAAGGGGTATTAACTCCTTGTCGGTCTGCATGGAATACTCCGTTACTCCCGGTCAAAAAGCCCGGGACGAATGACTACAGACCGGTACAGGACCTAAGGGAGGTCAATAGCAGGGTAGAAGACATTCACCCCACCGTACCCAATCCCTATAATCTCCTCAGCGAGTTAAATCCGTCAAGAACTTGGTATACTGTTCTAGATTTAAAGGATGCCTTTTTCTGTTTGCCTTTACACAAAGATAGCCAGCCCTTATTTGCATTTGAATGGACGGACCCTGAGACTGGGTCCGCCGGACAACTAACCTGGACGCGCCTCCCACAGGGCTTCAAAAACAGCCCAACCATCTTTGATGAAGCCCTACATAAGGATTTAGCCCACTTTCGGGCTCAACACCCAAGCCTCACCCTTCTTCAATATGTAGATGACTTGCTGCTGGCTGCGGACTCTGAGGGTGACTGCACAAGCGGAACTCAGGACCTTTTACGTGAGTTGGCTATCCTGGGGTATAGGGCATCAGCAAAAAAGGCTCAAATTTGTAAGCGAGAGGTAATTTTTCTGGGCTACTCCTTAAAAGGGGGAAAAAGGTGGCTCACTGAGGCCAGAAAACAGACTGTGGTCCAGATTCCCCCTCCAAAGAGTCAAAAACAATTACGAGAGTTCCTGGGCACTGCGGGGTTTTGCCGGTTATGGATCCCCGGATTCGCAACTTTGGCAGCTCCCCTATATCCGTTACTGAAGGGGGGATCTCCCTTTATCTGGAAAAAAGATCACCAGCAGGCCTTTGATGCCATCAAGCGGGCTCTCCTGTCTGCTCCGGCCCTGGCTCTTCCTAATGTGGATAAGCCCTTTACTCTCTTCATGGAAGAAAAAAAAGGAATAGCGAGAGGAGTGCTGACCCAGGCCTTTGGGCCATGGAGGCGTCCGGTGGCTTACCTCTCAAAAAGATTGGACACTGTGGCAAGCGGGTGGCCACCCTGCCTAAAGGCCATCGCAGCAGCTGCCTTGCTCATTAAAGACGCTGACAAATTGACTTTGGGACAGAAAATAACAATCATTGCCCCGCACACGCTAGAAAGCATCATCCGCCAGCCTCCAGACAGGTGGCTCTCAAATGCCAGAGTTACTCGTTATCAGAGCCTCTTGCTCAACAAGGACAAGATAACTTTTGGACCCCCGGTGACTCTCAACCCAGCGACTCTGCTGCCGGAAGAAGCTTCGGAACCCGTCCTCCATACCTGCCAGGACGTCTTGGCAGAAGAGGCCGGAGTACGACCGGACTTATTGGATTGCCCCTTACCCAATGCAGAGGTGACCTACTTCACTGACGGGAGTAGCTTTTTGATTCAAGGTAAGCGGTATGCGGGGGCGGCTGTGACTGATTATTCCAATGTTATATGGACAGCCAGACTAGAGGACGGGTCCTCGGCCCAAAAGGCCGAACTGATTGCTTTGACTAAGGCTCTGGAGCTCACTAAAGGAAAGCGAGCGAACATTTACACGGATAGCTGATATGCTTTTGCAACGGCCCACATCCACGGGGCCATATACCGCCAGCGGGGGCTTCTGACCTCCGCAGGAAAAGAAATAAAACACAAACAGGAAATCCTCCAGTTGCTCGCTGCAGTTATGTTGCCCCAGAAGGTGGCGATAATACACTGTAACAGTCACCAGAAAGGGACTGATCCCGTCACAAGGGGAAACAACCTGGCCGATCAGGCAGCAAAATCTGCAGCCATGGGAGACTCACAGATGTTGGTGACTGATGTCAAAGATTCTCCTCAAAAGGAGAAAGCTCAGATTAACCAAACCCCTGAAACACCTGATTTGACTGCTTACATACAACAGGCCCACCGGCTCACTCATTTGGGAGCTAAAAAGCTAAGCCTACTGGCCCAACGCCAAGACTTCCCAGGGGTATCCCCCACTGCCATACGTCAGGTCGCCAATCGGGTGGTGGCTAATTGTGAGGCATGTCAATTGACCAATGCCTACCCTGCCAAGTTGGCCCCCGGCAAAAGGCTACGCGGCACCAGACCTGGACAATACTGGGAAGTGGACTTTACAGAAGTTAAGCCTGCCCAATGTGGACTAAAATATCTGCTAGTTTTTGTAGACACCTTTTCTGGATGGACTGAGGCTTTTCCTACCAAAAAGGAAACCGCTGCCGTGGTAACTAAAAAATTGATGGAAGAAATATTTCCCCGGTTCGGATTGCCAAAGGTAATAGGGTCTGATAATGGACCGGCGTTTGTGGCTAAGGTAAGTCAGGGACTGGCCAACATATTGGGGATTGATTGGAAATTACATTGTGCTTATAGACCCCAAAGTTCAGGGCAGGTAGAAAGAATGAATAGAACTATTAAGGAGACCCTCACTAAATTGGCTCATGAGACTGGCTTAAAAGATTGGACGATGCTCCTGCCGTATGCCCTTTTTCGCGCGCGAAACACCCCGTCTACCAAACCCCCTAACCTTACTCCCTTCGAAATCCTTTTTGGCACTCCACCCCCCATTCGAGATCTCACTCCCCTAACTGAGCATGCTGCCTTGTTGCCAACCTCCCTGTCTGACAGGCTCATCGCCCTTGACAATCTACAGAGGGACGTGTGGACGCAGCTAGCCTCGGCCTATGCTCCCAGTGAGTTCCCCGCGCCACATCCGTACCAGGTGGGAGACTTTGTGTTCGTCCGGCGCCACCAACAAGAGACTCTACAGCCTCGCTGGAAAGGACCATACCAGGTCCTATTGACTACTCCTACAGCGGTAAAGGTTGACGGAGTCGCCTCTTGGGTACACGCGTCACATCTAAAGCCTGCTTCAGCGCCAGAGGACGGCTCCTGGGAACTCAAGCGGTCTGATAACCCCTTAAAACTTAAGCTGAGCCGAAAGACTCTTTAATGCTGTTTCTGTACACCCCCCCCCTTATGTATTACTATGAGATAACCCAACAAAAACCCCAGGTTGTAACCCCCTGGGCTATAATGAAATTGCTCATGTTAATGTTAGTGTTAGTCACCCCTACAATAGCGAACCCCCACCGCCCTTGGGTCTGGACATTAAGCCGATGGGACAGCCCAAAAGAGGTTGATAAGTGGACAGGTTCAGGCCATCCAACCTTTAGTTTCTATTCCTGTGATATTGTTCCTCTTGACCCTAATGTTGACCACCCCCCGGAAATATATCTATGTCCCGCGTCTGTGGAAGGAAGAAGTTATTGCAATTCCCCAGGCGAATACTATTGTGCCTACTGGGGATGTGAAACGATGGCCACAGCATGGACCCCCTCAATAAAGGACCGGCACCTTAGCTTGTCAGCAACAGGGGGAGGTCAACATAAAGGCCCTTTGCCACTGTCAAAGAGGAGCCTCCACTCCTATGACGGAGGACCAGGTAATTGCCGACATTTACAACTCGAGGTCCTCACCCCCGAGGACCAATCTTGGACGACAGGAAAAATCTGGGGATTTAGATACTATATGAGTGGACCAGACACAGGAGGGCTCATTTTAATTAAAAAGAAGCTAAAGACAGAGCCATTGTTGCCCACACCTTCTCCAACAACAGCTAGGGGGCCCTCATCCCCCATGCCTGTGACTACCCAAAGCCAAGAGCACATGGTCTCACCTCGCATCCCCTCCGGGTATTTAACTAATCCTCCTGAGTCGGGACTCGTCCCCCCAACCGTGAACTCCCTCCTCAGTCTTATACTTGGGGCTCATAAAGCCCTCAATCTTACCCATCCAGACCTAGCCCAAGCTTGTTGGTTATGTCTAAATGCTAACCCTCCATATTATGAGGGGACTGCTCTAAATGACTCCTATACGCTGACTCCTAATCCCGATCAGTGCGACTGGGATCATGTGTTCCACACCCTACCTTTACCTGACCTCGCTAGCCGAGGAACCTGTATAGGGACACTTGGTAATTGGCCTACAAACCTACGCCATCGTTGCCTCACACATACCCGCTCCTTCCCCAGGAACCAATACCTCATCCCTCCTACTGGGACATTCTGGTTATGTACTACAGGGCTCACCCCTTGTGTCTCCACAAACGTACTCCTGGCAGGGGATAGCTCCTGCATCCTTATAGACCTTATGCCACGCATTAAATATCTCCCCCCTAACATGCTCCCCCTCATGAGAGGTCGATATAAACGAGAACCTGTCTCCCTGACCCTAGCAGTCCTATTGGGGATAGGTGTGGCGGGGGGAATAGGAACTGGCACAGCAGCCCTCGTTACTGGGCATCAATCTCGCCAACAACTTCTTGCAGTAGTAAACCAAGATTTACAGGCCTTAGAAACTTCTATAACTGCGTTACAACAATCTCTCTAGTCTCTATCTGAAGTAGTGTTACAGAACAGGAGAGGCTTAGATCTACTATTTTTAAAAGAAGGCGGTCTCTGCGCCGCACTTAGAGAAGAATGTTGTTTCTACACCGATCATACTGGGATTGTAAAGGACGCAATGGAAAAGTTGAGAGAGAGAATCAAATCTCGAGAGCCCCCTTCAAATGAAGCCAAAATGTTTTCCTTCTGGGAATCAATCCTGCCCTATGTTCTCCCTTTACTGGGACCCCTGGCTGGATTCATTATAGTCATGGCTATAGCCCCTTGCCTCATTAACCAAGTAACCCAATTTGTGAGGGCCCAGATCTCTCAGGTAAAAGTTATGGTGCTACGTCAACAATATGACCCCTTACCTATACAGGACCTTTAGGATTAAAAGTCATTGGAGAAATAAAAGGGGGGAATGTGAGAGTCGACCCCCCTGCTACAACACCCTCCCCAGAGCGGGGAATGAAAGGGTTAACTCCCTAACTCCCCAGAGCAGGGAATGAAAGGGTTAACTCCCTAACTCCCCAGAGCGGGGAATGAAAGGGTTGACTCCCTAACTTCCCAGAGCTATCAGAACAGAGCAGTAAAGAATGCTTCACTCCCTAAACCTTTCCCAGGAGATAGTCAGAGCAGGGCCAAAAGGAATGTCTCTGCTAGTCATTAACCACTAGATGTTCTGTTCTCTGTAAAGATAGAGATAAGCAAAAGAATGTACTGTATAAACAGGACCAGGGAGCACCTGGCACTCTAAGGTCAACCCAAGACCCTCGGTCTCCATGGTTACTCAGCCCCAGACCCTCAAATCAGCATTAGCCAGGTCCTGCGCCGCTCAAAATTAACCAATGCGATTTGCTTCTGTAAACTTACTTGCCTCCTGCGTGTACCTTTAAAAACCCTACACAAATTCCCCTCGGGGCCCCTCCGCACACGTTTGCCTGAGGGACCCCATGCGCATGGAAATAAACTTTCTTTTCCTCACCAAGAGCTGAGTCCTTGGGGTCTCTTTCCCTGCGGCGTTGGCCCTAATAAAGGTTATGCTGGAATGGCTGCAGGCCTCCTTGAAATAGCGATTGCAGACAAGTGAACCCCGAGGAAGCTGGATAGTTGAAGCAGGCACTCCAAATATTCATGCACTGCAAGGATTCACTTTCATTTTGGGTCTCATCTTCTGGTTGCTGGCTTTTAGTGCTAACTAATACTACCATGGTGGCAGTAATCCAGCAGAGACTGCATGTATGGTTTGCAGGTTTGCTTCCCAAGCCACCAGAAACTTTGCAGAACCCAAATCATTGTGGCATTTTCTTTCCTCCCTTGAAATATTTGGCTTTCTAAGTTTGATAATTGAATAGACTGGGCTAGTCACGTTTGGACCCCATATACCACAAACAGAGCTAAAGACAGAGCCAATTACTTCCCTCCACTTGTCAAAATATGTCAAATTTTCTTGATCACCACAACTTCAAAGAAAATTCTGAGACAACTTAGAGAGGTGAATCAAATACTGCATGATTGGAATGGCTGTGGTTGTATGAGGTGGAAAGATGCAGAGTTGGGCTGAAACTGTTCACAGAAATCCACAGGCTTGTGGTTGCCAGGCAACCACACTGGGCTGAGATTGGCTGATCATCACTGTGAGGGGGATTTTAGGCTCTAGGTTTGAAAATTTAAAAGACTGGTGTAGTCAAGTTTGGAACCCACAGACCTCAGACATACCAAAAATGTTTTCCAATTACTTCCCTCCACTTCTCAAAACATGTCAAATTTTCTTGATCACTACAACTGTAAAAAAAAATTCTGAGGCAACATAGAGAAGCTAATCAAATACTGCATGATTGGAATGGCTGTGGTTGTATGAGGTGGAAAGCTGCAGAGTTGGGCTGAAACAGTTCACAGAAATCCACAAGCTTGTGCTTGCCAGGCAACCACACTGGGCTGTGATTGGCTGAGCAACATTGTGAGCTTGACTTTAGGCTCTAGGATACAAGTTTGCAGTAGGAGACCTGAGTCACAATGCTGGGCGTTGCCATGGAGACCTCAGTGGCATAGAGGACCTTGTAGGGCAAGATTTAAATAGGATGAATATTCTTGGCCTGGTATGCCACAATATTCTCTCTGAAGGCTTCACTGCTCAGAATTTGTGGATGGAAATGCTAGGCAATCTACACATGGATGTACTTTTAATGGGATATGAAATATGCCAGGGCCTGGCAGATGATCTCTGCCATGTCCTATCCTTGAGCATACGCTTTTCCCTTGTCATGTCTGTCATTTGGCTGAGTCCTGTTCCCTAAGCTATTCAGTCAAGACTTGCTGGCATCATTCACCTGCAGTATAAGAGCTTTCTGTGAAATTTCTCAGCAGAAATCCTCTGCAAGTACATAGCTTTGGATATGAGAGACAGTGGTGGAAGTTGAATTTCAAGGGCAGATATTTGAAAACAATGAAACAAGCCCCGAATAAGATCTTTACATGTTTCCCAGATGAATATGTTTGGAAATACGGGGGAAGATGGAGATCAAGGCTGAGAAGAGTGCACACCCATTTCAAGGTACAAAAACCAGGGAAAAACATGGGAAAGCAAGAGAGCTGGTTAATCTGATGTAAAAATCTGTGATGATGAAAGGAAAATTATATTCTCATGATGATTTAATCAGGCTGTAGAAGTGAAGTTCTCATGTTGGTTGTCCTATGTGTGGCCTTCTGCATTGGGCAGTGGATGCAGGACAGGAGACCTTCAAATAAATCTGGTGGAACACAAAATACTGAAAAAAAAAGTTCAGCCTAAATCCTGTGTATTCCTTCCCTTTGAGAACATATATGGATAATGTATGAAGTTTCAAAAGAGAAAATGTCTATTGGGTCATGGTTTCTCCAATGAAATGGTCACTTCACATAACATTTTGAATTTTGCTTTCACAGTTGCTCATGTACCGGGCCTGAGTAAAGCAGAATGCAGAGTAAGACTCATCAATAGTTGTGCATTCCATAAGTGGTTTTAAAACCAGTGAAACCCTTTGGACTTAGTGTTTGTATTTAATTGGTTGATTGTTTTTTCAAATTGTTTGTTTTACTATTTTTAACTTTGTGAATCAGGGAAGCCCTCACTCATAGTGATTTCGACCTCCCCAAAAGCTCTGAAGTTATTCATGTAACAGCTATTACATGCTATATGTTTCTCTTATTAAAACTTGAAAGACTAACAGACTCTGCTACTTTTCATCTAAATTCAGTGTTGGGCTAACTTCAGGGTTGGACTTTTTACAAGTCCTTTGAAATGTGTCCTCCTCTAGTCACTGGTCGTGCTGGAATTTGCTTTCTTGTGAAGAAAGCATTTGAGCAAATTGACACAAGTACAGTTTGCCACTACTCTGGACACCTGGTTAAATATCGAGTTCCCTAAATGGTGTGTGTTTTACTTTGATCACTGCTCACACTTTGCTCATCCAGTTAGAACCACAGGGCTCCAGGCCATAGCGTTCCAGGCCTAAAGAAGAAAATTTCCATTCCGTTTTGGGAGTTCATGCGTCTCTCATAATTACTTTTTCCACAAATGTGTGCTTCAGGAGAGGCCCTGT